TCAGCATAAGAGGGAAGTGGAGGGCGAAGCATTGTTGTTGTGAAAGCTTCATATTTAAGACCAAGGCCTTCCAGCAATCGATATGCCTTTGTGTCATCTGAAACTGGCTTTCCAATAGCATTCAACTGATCACAAATATACTTGAATTCTCTCAAATAATTAGCCATGGGTTTGGTCCCTTTCTCAACATGTTAAAGGTGAGACATTAATTCAAACTCTCTTGCGACACTACTTTGAGTAAAATGCTCGATTAAAGCATCTCATACCTAGATTGATGTTGACAACCCTACGACAAGGCCAAGAACATCTTCTGAGAGAGTCCCTATGACCCATGATTTCACCAGTCGGTCAGTGCGAACCCAGGAAATATAAGCTGGGTTTGTTGTCTCTTTCTCTGTGCCTACATCATTTATGGCTGGAGGAGCAACTTTTTCACTAGTTAGAAAACTAAGTTAGTCTTGAGATTCAACCAGAGACATTACTTGTGTTTCCCACAACAAATAATTATTTTCATTGAGTTTGAGTGTGACAAAGTTGGCAATGTTGATGTTGGAGGGAAAGGGATATGTGTTTTGGGAAGGCATGGCTAAACAAAAGAAGGTTTAGTGTGCTCTTGTATTGCTCTGATACCAAAAAGAGAAAAACAATATTGTAAAGAATATGGTTTTTGATGATTTGTATTGATTCATAACATCAATATATATACAGATGTGGTATATTATAAATGGAAATAAATCTCATGATTTAAGCTCTAAATAGCCAACACATTTGCTATTTTCTAGGATCTGAAATATAAGGCATGCTGGCTAATTTGTAGGATCTGAAATATAGACATGATGTCTATTTTACAGGGAAAGATTAAGGGGCTGTGATCAAGCTTACAATCAGCTATCAACTATCCTCGTTCAATTCCTTTTCTTCAATAGGAACTAGCAACATGCACATGAAAACATGTTCCTAATTGATACCTTCGATTAACCCTGCTATATATCTCACGCAGTGTTTGCTCTCGTTGTCTCCCCTGTAAGGGAAAGTGAGAGACATTATAGGTGATGGGGGTTTAAAGAGAGCTCAAGTTAGGCCGGTAAGAACTCGGTTGGAGATACTCACCAAGGATGTGATTTCAAATTTGTATGAAGATGTAAGTTACAGAAGCCTTCGAGCTCTATGAGAAAATGACGAGGAAGAAAACAGTTGTAGGAGCCGTTTAAACAAACAGCCTGCTAGGCTCTTGACTTCTATTCCCGGATTTGGATCCTCTCCACTACAAAAAAGTAGTGGAGAGACCACTGCTTTTAATCTCAATCGTTGATTATTTAGTAGGCGGTTATGATACAATCTAAATCTAACACTTACCATACCCCCGTGTATTGCACTCATTCCTAATTTGCACTAAAAAAATCACAACCATTAACTAGATAATCAATGGCCGTGATTATGTAGTGGTCCCTCCACTATTTTTTTTGTAGTGGAGAGGAATCCTCTATTCCCACGTATGTAGGCTAATTAGCACGACAATTCTCAATCCCGTGCGCAACAGTTAGCTAGATCCAGGATAGGATAAGCTCGAAGGAGCTGGCGTTCCCCAAGTCCTTTACAGGTCCAAAGAGATAAAAGTGATCGGATCTGGGCCAACCAGCTATCCGTTCGGATACGTTTGGCCAATAAGTTAACCAGCTGGACCCGGACTGTTCATTAATTTATCCATCTGCAGATTGATCTGTTGATTACTGAGTGGCCAAGTATTGTTTGCTATCTTATTTTAACATCCAAAGCTTTCTAATTCTGCACAGCCTCCTAATTAAACTTACCGACTTGTAAAATACTACCAAAATTATATATCGTTACGTAACGTGGGTACTTGGACTTTAGTCTAGTAGTCGTAAGGTGAGGCTAAAAAAGCCGCGCGAGTACAATTAAAACTCAAATCAGCGTGTGTGTAACTCGGTCCACCGCGCTTCACTCGTCGCATCCACAAGCCTCCACTGCTTTACGTGCTGGCAGATCAGTAATTTTTTTTTTAGAGGAGCAGGTAATAACTAATTAATGCGTGCGGCACCTAGAGAGGCTTAGCTTTATCGGTATTAGCATCGGTCGAGGAAATCAATGATAATGATGTCGCACACTGACGAACATTTGGTACTGATAAGTGTTAATTAGGTTTAAAATTAAAATTTGCCTAGGACTCGTAGCCCTCTTGGCACTCGATCGGAGTTCCTTGGCCGGTGATAAACACCAATGGCAGTACTGTGGTACGTACAACCACAGAAAAAAAAGGGGTTTAAAATCGGAGAAAAATACTATAGGAGTTAGGGGTGGCAATTTATGACCCGACCCATTAACCCGACCCGACCCGACCCATTTATAATGGGTACGGGTCAAATTATATGGGTCGGGTCATAAACGGGTCAACCCAAATTTACCCATTTATTAAATGGGTCAATTCGGGTTGACCTATTGACCCGTATAACAAAAATCCCGACCCGTGTAACAATCTTCGTTCCCTCACTCCCTCGACCCTCGTAAGCGCCGCTCTAGAGAAAGAAAGAAAAGAAAAGCTGCAGAAGAAAGAAAAACCCTAGATCCTCACGAAGCTCAAGCGACGAGCGGCCTAGATCCCATCACGAAGCTCGAGCGGTGAGCGGCTAACGGCGAGCGGCGGCAAGCGACAGCGAGCGGCGGCAAACGGCGAGCGACAGTGATCGGCGAGCGGCAGTGATCGGCGAGCGGCAGCGATCCTCGAACCCTAGATCCTCTCTCTCCTCTCGAGCGCCACTGTCTCTCAGATCAACTTCAGGTAATTTTTTTTTTATTTTTTCGGTTTTTTTTTACTGATTTGATCTAACTTCAGGTGATATTGTCGATGCGTTTATTTAGTCCTTTTTTTCCCAATCAAATTTAAGGTGATGACCTTTGAAGCCTTAGGTATTCATTTATTTATTTATATTTTTATTGTTTCTGGCATATGGTGGATTAGTTCTATTTTGAATTTCCTTTTTTTTTTCTCTGCATTAATCGTGTAATATCACATTCCCAGTGATTTTCGTATTTAGCGGATTTAGATTTATTTTTGAACTTCATGTTAGGATACAGCAATTACTCTATGTCGCACTTTTCTATGATATATTCTCTCTAATAAGTAATCAAATGCATACCATTGATTGGATGATCATATTCAGCTGATGGGATTCAGAAAAGTTAATCACATGTTGCAGTACTGTAAATGTTAATCATTTGGGCATATATAGAAAATTTAATTAAACATATGTGTTATTGTATCTCATGGGATTCAGAAACTTCTACTCGAAACAAGATTTTTCACTTTCCATAATGTATCCTCTCATAGCTTGTTTCTTCTAATTTCTCTGTGAATATGCCTACTTGGTCAAATACAAACTGCAGGTCAGCAGTAGTTGAAATATTTTTTAAGTATAAAGTTGCATGTATCTGTGGTCTCCAAGCTCACTTGTTCTGCTGGTCATGAGAAGTTGCATGTATCTGTGGTCTGCATCCCCTCCCCCCAATACATGAACATCAAGGTTACATTTATTTTCCAAGCCCACTTGTTCTACTCGTCATGAGAAGTTGCATGTATCTGTGGTCTGCATCCCCTCCCCCCAATACATGAACATCAAGGTTACATTTATTTTCCAAGCCCACTTGTTCTACTCGTCATGAGAAGTTGCATGTATCTGTGGTCTGCACCCCCCCGATAATAAGTGGTATAAATGATGTCTTTTTCTTCTGTAGTGGACCTGGGGACTTAGTTTCTCTAACTTACCTAGTAGCACTTAGAAAATTCACTGCAATTACCTAGTATGAATCTCTCATACTATGATGCGGTAGATGAAGGTAAGAACCTACTAGCTGTTTTAACTTGTAATGCATGTCGTTTTAACTTGGGCATCAAGAGAGGTTTTGCTCTTTATTTTATATATCATGCTAGTTTTGTGACAAATACAGAAAACATTCATCTGAAAATGCAACATTTGCTGATTGATGCTTACATCATTGTCATGAAATAATTCCAATAATCAACAAACACCTTGCCTTCTCCAAATATGGCCATCAAACGATACACAAGATTGCTACTGTGGAGTGGGGCTGAAAGTTTAACAAAGAGAAGGCAATCTTTTTAGGGATTATAAAGCTAGCAACATTATCTTTTGCTTCTCTAGTCACCAATCAACTCTCTTTCATTAAAGAGGAGAACAGCAAAAAAGTGAGAGAGATCAAAGGGATCCCTATGTTTGTGGACTGTGTTAATAATGCATAGAGAGGCTTGTTATTTCCTTAGTATATATCTCAGCAGGTCATCCACTATGTAGCCTAGGAATAGAGATTAATTTTCATGGAACTTGTGTTTATTTAAGTTATTGGGGGGAAAGGTATGTATATTTTAAGGAATCTATTGAGAGAAAGATCACGCAGTACCGCTATATATAGTACGAAATACGAGATAATAAGTAAACTACAAATACAAATATACTAAACTGAGTAACTTATTCCTTCACATTTAATTGTAATCTATACTCTTATAAGAATTTTCTGGTTTTCATTGGCTCCTCAATTTAGATTTTCAGGTCAGGTCAAATTTACTAGATACATTTTTTTATTTAATTTGTTACCTATACTTGCATCTAGATTTTGAATATCTTCATGATTTGAAATTTTGAATAGAGGTGAGCGAACTTTCGTATATAGTCAAGAGTATTAACAGGTAAGTTACAACCTTGTTGGACTCATTTAATGAGTGTGCTTGTCACTATGTCATGGCTGCAGAAATAATTTGGTAATGTCTCGAATTCAACTTTTTTTGATTATTTATTCGGATAATAGGTGAGGTTGGGTGTTCGTAATGCTGCTTTTGTGGATTAATATCAGTATCTTTGATCTGATGTGTATGACTATTGGATTTCCATTCATGTTGGTTTTTTTTAAAGGTGAGGTTTTTTAAGGTGAGGTTTTAACCTTTTGGATTCAAGAGGTGGGTTTCTCTGGTACGGATGTTTTGTACATGATACATTGTAAATTTTTTTGGGCTAAATTATCAAATTGGCATTTTGGCAGGAGTCTATTCAAATTATGGTAATTGTTCTTTCACAAGTGATATTATGGTATTAATATTGAGACTAATACCAATCTATTAAAATCCTGTTGCTTTTTTCTGTGTGCAGGCCACATTTGATTGCCTCATGAAGACTTATGGGTTCCTGGCACCAGACTGCAAAGAGTACATGAATATACTGCAAAGAGTTAAAGAAGAGAGGGAACTAAAATAAATGCGGAAAAGAAGGATAACTACATGCTATATTATTGTATAATGTCTACATATGTTTTCCTTTACTGCTCTTCATTGCTTGTATTGGATGTGATGCTGTATGCAGGCATCATCAGATTAATGTTTGTGTTGTGAGATTTTTCTGTTCTTTTTTAAGCCTGTAAAATCTTAGGTGCTATTGTTCTTACTGGCTCTGTTCTGCCTCTGTACTTCTGATATATAGGCCTTGGCTTGAATCACATAGATTTGGAAATGTATATAATTTGAATTAGTCTGGGTGGCAAATTATGCAAGTCCTAGTGTTTACGCATAAACTCCAGCAGATTGATAGCTTGCGGTGCTGCCCGAGCTTGTGTGTTGATACACAGTAAAGCAGTGTGATGTATTTCCTCAAAATTTGCGTATATACTCTCACAAAATATTCAAATATGTTTCATCTGTTTGCGCATCTATATCTATCGGTACAGAGCTTGCACAAGTTGTTAAGGAGAAAGGTGACATGATACAAATAGCTCAATCTGTGAGATTCCTATATACAAAATCTGCAAAATGTTTCTATGTAATCATCCGAAAATTTGAATCGGTCATTCGGATTTATAGACTTGATTATTCAAGTAAGTGGAAAAAAACCATAAGTTATTAAACGGGTCATTTGGGTTATATGGGTCGGGTCGGGTAACCCGTTTAATAAATGGGTCGGGTCGCATTGACCCATTTATTAAACGGGTCGGGTCGGGTCACACTTATATGGGTCGGGTCAACTATGACCCGACCCGACCCGACCCGACCCGACCCGTTTGCCACCCCTAATAGGAGTCATGATTAATGCTGTGCAATAAGTTCAACTCCCACTTCGATCAATTGATAATTAATTCTCGAATCTGTACGACTTTATACTAATCCTTCGTTCATTGAGATTTAGATTTGGGTTTTGCTAGGGAGACCTAAAATATGGGATCTAACGGAGGGGACAGATGATGTGTCCCCCTCCTATTGCATAATGAGCTGACCATATTTTGGATCCTATATTTTAACATCTCACCTATCTCCCTTGTTGGTCCCATATTTTGTGTCCTTGTGGAATTTTTCTTTAGATTTAGATGAGGGCGGGGCTTTGTTACAACAGCATCTAGCTAGCTAGCAGCTGGTTTAATTATCCTGGCGAAGTAAAGCTTCTTTATATCCTGGGTCAGTACTGTTTTCTTAATTAACCACCAGTTAGGAAACAGATTAAGGTGGAGAGAATTTTTCTTCGCCTTCGATGTGGCCTCAACTATAACATCTAACCTTTAAGAAATCCATACAAAAATATGGACAAGCTGCGGTTGTGAAAGCTAGGTTGTGTGTTTAAACAGTCCACTAAAATATTCCCAAGTGACAACATCATATTATTGGTGAAGCATCAATTATTAAGAGATAAAGGGAATATGGGCTTTAAAAACTCAACTAAACCCGTGAAAAGAGGGGCCAATGATGCATGTCGTTAACTATTATAACTTGACTTTTGGAGTGTGATTAGGCGTAAGAATATATAGTGAGATAAATCTGGGAACAATTAACATTCATAATGCCATTTGCTGGGTTTTAAGGTAGTTGGATATCTGGATATCCTCTCGTGACTTTCTTCGGCGGGATTGGAACTGTGGGACTTCGATCGGGAGCAAATTCCATCTTTTCCAACTCGATATTATGATAAAGAGCGCATACTATCTCGCATTTTAGTTAATTCTATGTAAAAGATTGACCCTGCTCTATTGGATGTGATGCTCTGGTTCTGAACTGAATCTCATTGTTTTCTCCCCACGGGATACTGTTTGATGCTGAATTTTGTTTATCAAGATTTTCCTTTTTCCCTTTTTTTTAAAAAAAAATTGTGTAGATACCCTAAAAGCAAAAACTTCATGTGCTTCAGCCCCTCTATTTTTTTCCTCATGTGGTTCAGCCCCAAAAGCAAAAATTTTATGTTCTACAGCCTTTCTTTAGCAATTATTACATGCTAACTAAGTACAGAGAGAGAATAAAAAATAAAAAAACCCAAAATGTCCTTATCTCATCTATTCTTTCATGTTAAGTCTAAAAGCAAGTTGAATTAGACTTAACATGAAAGTCTATTTCATATTAAGTCTAATTCGGTTCATGTTAGGTCTAACTTAATTTTTTTAAGTCTAATTTAAAGCATGCTAATCATGTTATGTCTAATTTAACATGCTTAAAATTAGACTTAAAATAAGTTAAAATAGACTTAACATGATTCATGTTAAGTCTAATTCAACTTTTTTTAAGTCTAATTTCATGTGAAGACAATTTGCTGCTACAGCATGGAGTACAACTTTTATATTGATGCTATCGTCTTATTTATGTATGGGTATGTCTGTTGAGCGCTACGGAAGCCAAACAACTAAATCAACATGCTACGAGAAATCAAATCAAACGAAAGTCGAGAGAAGGCCAAACGAACCAAATCAATGCCATAAACACAAACACTAGTGGAAAAACCAGTATCGCTGACGGGAGATTCCCGTCAGCGATGTTTATATCGCTGACGGGGATTCCCGTCAGCGAAGTTGCCGTCACAGTTGAATTATACCCGTCGGCGATGTTATTATTGCCGACGGGAAATAAACATCGCTGACGGGAAACCCGTCAGCGATGTTTGATATATATTTCAACAGATCGCGATCCATCAGGCTTTCGTTCCCAACTTAAAAAACCCTAATTTCCGTCAGCGCCGCCGCGCTCGAGGACCTTCTGGCAGCTCTGACTCGCCGCCCTCGACTCCCACTTCACCGCCGGAACCCCGAACCCCCGATCGCGAACTCCGTCAATACCCACTTCACCACCAATACCCCTCGCGGCTGCCCTAGATCGCGAAGTCCGTCACCTCCCGCTCCTCCTCTCCGACTCCACCGCACGTGCTCCGACGCCCCGGAACCCCGAACCCCCGATCTCTCGCCGGAGCTCGCCGCGGCACCGCCCCCGCTGAACTCGCAGAGAGGTATTTGTAAATTTTTGGGTATTGTTGTAAATTTTTTGTAATTTTAGGTATTGTTGTAAATTTTTAGGGATTTTTGTTGTAAATTTTTAGTTATTTAAGTGTTGATAATCCCTGTTGCAGTTTCCATTTGATTTAAGTGTTGATAATCCCTGTCGCAGAGAGGTATTTGTTATTTAACTGTTGATAATCCCTGTTGCAGTTTCCATATGATTTAAGTGTTGGAGCATGCACGTAATGTGCGATTTGATTGATTGCATAGCATAAATTGGGTCTTGTAAGTGAGATATTGTAGCGCTCCAACAGTATTTCTGAAGTAATTCTTTGGATTTTGGTATAAAAGACTCATTAGCTCTCAAATTTCGACTATAAGCTATATATAGGAGTACTAGCAGACTTATAAGCATTCATATTAAATTTCTCCAATAGATCCATAGCATATTTATGTTGAGAGATTGTTAACATGAATTTCAGATCTTGTATTACCTGCTCCTAGTTGCCTCTTACTACGATATCATCAACATATAAAAGAATAATTATCATGATGATACCTTTGGTCAAAATAAAATAATGAACGATCCATGACAGATTTTCTAAAACCATAATCATAAACCACCTATTGAAAGCTGTAAAACGATGTTTGTGGTGGTCGTTTTAACCCATACACTGATACCTGCATACATATCTTTTTAAGTTAGTTCACAAAAACCTTTCGACTGCTCCATGAATGCTTCTACCTTTAATTCTCCATGTAAAATTGTATTTTTCACATCTAGTTGATAAAGAGGCAAATCAAATGATAAAGCAATAGATAAAATAACTCTATAGTAGCAATTTTAGTAATGGTCCTAATCTTCCAAAGTTTTTGATATTCATGTGATAATAGGGCGCAGAAACCTCTCTGTCAGTGGTTTTTTTAAATTATTTTGTTGTAATTTTAGGTTTTGTTGTTGTTTCTGATCTGATATTTAATTTCTTGCAATTGCATTGCAGGAGATCCAAGCGGGTCTTACGTTTTCTTAGATTGCAGTGCAAGAGATCTAAGCGGTAATTTCTTGTCCTTTTTTGATTCTTCAGTTCAAAATTGGATTTTGATGGGCTTTAATGTGGATGGCTAAGTTTAATTATCTTTCCTAATATGAAGAAGTTTAATTATCTTTCCTAATATGAAGATCAAAATAATGGGGGTTTTCTGATATTTTGAAAATTAAGGGGGGTTATCTGATAATAGTCCTAAAGTTAATGGGATTTACTGATATTTAGCCTTTATCTTAACTGAAATTTTTAATTAGTTAGATATATCGAGTTTGTATTGTGTTATATATCATGATTTTATGAATCAGAAATCGTTACCCCTAGTTTCCGGTCTAATATTGTTGGATGTGAGTCTCTTCTGATATAAACTCACGCAATTCTAGTTGAATATGAAAATACTTTTTACATCTAAAGAGAATTACGTGATTTATGTTAGGAGTATGCTCTACATGCAATAATTATTAGATCTGTCCGGTGAGGATTCCCCTTCTCGTATAGGTTAGGAATACAGTAGTGTATCGTCTATCTTTGTATACTTTACGCAATTTTATTCCTACAAAATTTCGATAACACGTACCGCATTGTTCTCCGTGTACAATAAGCGTATGTTGTTTTGCGTTTTGATCTATAATCGATCTATTATCGATGATTGATACGCATTATAACATCCGCACAGTGTACTCGGAGAACAGCAGGTAGGTGCTGCCAAAATTTTTAAGAAATAAAAACGCATAAAGATGATGAAGGTAGTTGTAGACACTACTATATTCCTAATGGGATAGGTCCATTTCCTATGACAACCGTTAAATTGTCTTATTTCAAATATGAGCGTTAGATTTTACTCCCACATAATTTATGTTCTGGCAATTTTCTCTCTGAGATTATTATAATTTGAATTTCCTTGATGTCGTGAAGAAAGTTAATATCACAAAATCGTTAATTTGATGCGTTACTAATAAAAATTCACATTATCTA